ACATCGACATTAATGCAATAAGAAAGGCGGACGTAGTCGAATCATTCAATTCGCTTGAAGCAGTAACAAAAAGAATGGGACTAGAGGTTATTACTAGTAAGACGAAGTATATGAAAGTATTAAATTATATACAAACAGCACAACCCGAGGATCTAACGATCGGAACATATACTTTCGAAGGAGTAAGAGAGTTTATATACCTAGGCTCACAAATTAATCAGAATAATGCAGTAAGTACAGAAATTAACAGATGCATATACTGGCAAATAGAGCCTATTATGGATTAAAAAAATTTTAATAACAAGCCTAGTTACAAAAAGAACGAAACTAGTGATATACAGAACTCTTCTCAAGCCCATCCTCACATACGCGTCGGAAACATGGACGATGACAAAGAGCGATTAAGAATGTTTAAGATGCTTTGAGCATAAAATCCTCCGGCATATCTATGGAGGATTACAGGAGGGTGGATTATAGTGCAGACGCTATAATTTCGAACTTTACCGCCTGTATGACAAACCTGATATTATTAGGTCCATCAAAATAAACTGGCTGCGGTGGTTAGATCACATAGAGAGAATGAATGAGATGGAGCCGCCAAAACATATTTATAATCAAAGAATAGATGGAATGAGAAGGAGAGGCAGACCCAGAGCACGATATAAGGATCAGGTGGAGGAAGACTTAAGAATGTTGGGAGTACGAAACTGAAAAGTTAAGGCAAAGAATAGGAGAATATGGAGACTTATCCTTGAGCAGGCCAAGACCCACCATGGGTTGTGGAGCCAATGATGGATGAAGAAGAAAGAACAACACATGAACAAAGAAGATCCTGGAGCATTTATAAGAAATGATACCAACAATATAAATTACCATTGGTAAAATATTTATCACAGAAACATAAAAGAATTGGAAATCGAACGTTCAAAATCGCAACAAAAAGTATAGTTTTCGATAAATGCAGCAAAGAATATAATTATTTGTAATTTTATGCCAGGGAACCGGGTTTATACCTAAATGAATAAAGGCTTAGAACTAGGAAAAACTGTAACCCTAAAAATTATTAAGAAATATTTTTTTCGGAAGCACCAATCAAAATAAGGTTCAAGAGGTCGCCCGACGAAAAGTTGTTTAAATTTGTTTAAACAATTTTTTTTAACAAACTGTAACAATCAATTTTTTCGCCCGGATAATTTTTTTTTGATTTTTTTAAATATTGTGTGGAAGTGAGTGTGGAAGTGGTTGGATCTATCAAATGAATTTTCTCAATTGGTGGTTAGTTAATTTAGTAAAATGTTTCCTTATAGCGTAATACATTTAATAATCAGTTCTTGAACATAGTTTTTTAATTACTTTAAACGAAACTATTTTATATAACGATTGTGATAAATTGTAATGGAAATATTTTATAGACGGGGATAATAACGAAGACTACGAATTAACATACACATCTCAAAACAACTGGCAGATCAGTTTTAGATAACTAAATGGCTGAAACAGGGAGATGAACTGGCGCCAATGCTGTTTAATGTTTTATGGAGTATGTACAAAAAAATATCTGTAATATCAAAAAATATATTGGTAAATAACTCTTAACATACTGTTGTGTATGCTTATGATGGGTCAAACCGTCCTCTGCTTCTCATTCCTTAAGCCTTTGTTATAGCATGGTGACACTCTAAATATTGTGAGCTTGTTCTGTCCTTTGGCTGCAATCATATGCCAGGTGGCTGGTTTATGTAGGAATTTTCCTTCCAGAGTTATCATTTGGTCTGCCCATTGTGTTGGACATCTTCCAGTTAGTCTTCGGCCTTCTACCTTTCCTTCTACTTCCTATAGTTCCATAGTCTCCATTCTTTTGCCTAAGTGGCCGAAGTAATTTAGGTATGATTTATCTACTTTTTTTTAACAGCCTGTCTTTTATACAAAAATCTTCTAGAATTGACAGTTGGTAATATGATTTGTCCAGAATACACATAAAATTCTTCTGTAGACGCACATTTCGAAGGCTTCGATTTTACTGTCTACGATTATTATTTTTAATAACACTAGTAGACAAAGATCAAAGAACTGATATATTATGTTATTACCAACAGATATATCCATCGAAAATAATCGACGTAAGATGTCTCAACTCAGCAGATGTAGCTAGCGACCATAGAATAGTATTAAGTAAAATAAGAATCATCTTGAAATACTCCCCACCCAAGAGAGCTACGCCAACACAAATAAAAATATTAAAGTCGAAGGACTAAATACAGAATCTATAAAATACTTATACAGGAAAAGAATATCAGAGAAAAGCGCTAGGAATGAAATATAATAAAACAATAACATTGAGGAAAGCTAGGAAAAACTCAAAATAGCCTCATCATCATCACAGTCATTAACATCTTAGTAGATGTGTTGTGGTTCATAATTGGGCTGTCCGAGCTGCTGAAGCCCAATTATGAACCAAAATAGCCTAACCTAACAAAAAAGAAAACACCGTGGTTTAGAGAGGAAGTGAAGACAAAATGTGAAGATAAGAAGAAAGCCTATTTATAATATAGAACACAACAAACATATAACCATAAAACAACCATATAACCAATATAAACGAATAAAAATTGAAACAAATACTTTAGTTAGACAAATAAAAAGGAAACACTGGTAGAGGTTCTCAAAACAAATGGAATACGACTTCTACGGATTACAAAAATAAAAATGGAGAATGATCAGAGGACAAAGAAAAGCGAACGAACGAACTAATAAAAACGAAACACATTCATAAGGAAACATGGGTAGACTACTTTCGATCCCTATTTGCTAAAGGTGACGATAATGAACCACCAACACAAACGAAGAAATAAATATCGAGAAAGAGGAGGTAAAGGAAGCATTAAAGAAATTAAAAAATAAAAAATCACCAGGAGAGAACAGAATACCGAACGAACTCCTAAAGTATGAAGAACCACATCTGACCAAACAATTGTTAAAACTAATCTAAAAATAATAAAATAAAACAGAATTCCTCAAGAATGGAGATCAAGCATCCTAATACATCTCTTCAAAAAGGGAGACAAATCGGACCCGGAAAATTACAAATTAATTTATTTACTAAACACAACACTAAAATTGACAAATAAAGTGATAACAAATAAACCGAATAAAACTATAACACTAGAAGAAGAACAGCAAGGTTTTAGGTCGGGAGAATCATGCAACGACGCTATATTTATAATGAGGCAAATGCAACAGAAATCATTAGAATACAAGAAACTGGCATATCTATGTTTCGTGGACCTTCAGAAGGCATTAGAGTGACAGGGAGATTCCCCAAGTTCTCTATTATTCAACATAATTATGGAAAAAAGTAAGAACTAAAAAAGGATACCTACCAAATGAAAGGAACAACTTAAAATAATCTGATATGCAGACAATGCAATACTACTCTCTTAAAATGAAGATGATTTAATATAACCGCCAGAAAATTTAACATGTTAATTTCCCTAAAAAAGAGAAAATGCACGGTTACAACAGAAAATTTACTAAGATATAAGTAGGGGCTGGAAGGTCAGATAATAGAACAAAGTGATGGAGTTTAAATATCTAATTGAACAAGTATTTACCGATTTACAAAATGATCCAGTAACATTAAATGGATTAATGCGTTCGCTAAATAAAAGAATTAGATTATGTATTCAACAAAATGGAGGACATTTTGAACAGTTGTTGTGAAATATTATTTTCGCCATTAATTAAATGTTAAGTATTAATTAAGTTTTCCATTAATTTGTAATATTATTGCTAACACAAGTGTCAATTCCAAAGCATACTTGATGAATATTAAGAAATGTAACGATTACAATAAAATACATGTATACCTTCAAGTTTAAATAAATCGAAAACGATGAATCTATCGAAATATTACAAGAGCACGTTTATTGCGTAGAAAAGTCTAAGGAAACCATTTTTAAAATATTTTTTTAAAATATGTAAAAATTAAAAAACATGTGACGCAATAATCCCCACTTACCCTCCAAAACTACCCTGTATTAATATAGGATGTGGTAGGTGGTGACATGAAATTAATTATCCTAATGTCTTATAATCACTCCCAAAATATGAACTCCGTATTCAAAACCGTTTGGAAGATATTTGAAAAAATAAGAATTTCAATTCACCCCTTTAAAGGGTTGTATCTCCCTTATTATTCAGTTTTATAAAAAAAGTGTACATAAAGAAGTACCCTTATTTTTGGACGTACTATGAGCTCTAGAAATTAATGTACATAATTTTGGGCCACCTTGTATATTTTGTATGTAAAATATAAGGGAAAAAATTGTGATCATAAATTATTGTTTAAAAAAACGCAAGGTAAAAAAATACGACTAGTTTTTCATCTATGTATTCGTCATTTAGTAATACCCACCTACGTCTTAAAAGCTTCAGATATCTGCGAAAAATTTTGTCGTGAAATCAATGATTTTTGCATAACCTAAGTGGCAATTTTGAATGTTTTAGACATATCTAAAGTTTTATAACTCTGTTTCTTGACACTTATTACTATTAATAAAACCCATACTCACTTTTTATGTGTCTCTTTACAAAATGCACATTAACACTTTCTATATCGATTTAGCAAGTAACAAAATTAAGGGATGTAAAATGATGAATTAAAACTGGGAACTCGCGAAAGATCGGCTAAAAATTTCAGAGAGCGTAACATATCTCTACACAAAGAAGAGATTACAAGTAAAAAACACCTACGAATTTTTAGGCACTACACTAGAGCCTCATATATTATTTTGTAAAAGCAGATGTTCTGTTTGCTTTATTTGTTGTTATTTACTAAAGCCACATTAACAATTTTAGATTCACTTAGCAACTGAACAAAATAAGGGTGTGATATGATATCCTCGAACGCATGATGCAAGATTCCATAAAGTTAACCACAGTCCCCAAAGAATGTTTTATCATATATTATTTTTTATTTACGCAACGGCATACCGGTTATAGAAGGCTTTTGTGACTATAGGTATATATACCGGATGGAGTCTGGGATAGGATATAGTTCAAGTCTGCTCTTGATCCAGAACAAACCACATCCAACATGAAATTCTTAGTAAGTATTTTTTATCTTGAGTATATTAGAATCGTATAAAATAATTTTCTATGTTTTAATCTCTTTGAAATATTATCTTTACTTACGTTCTGTGTCATAGGTCTCCCTTTTATATTTATTCTTCTTATATTAGACATAGGTCTGTCTGTAATCTGTAGTTGTATTTTTGATGTTGTCTTCCAGCTATTTTACAACCTTTTAAAGGTTCCTAAAGTATTTTAAATAGTCTGGTAATGTAGTGCCCCTTGGTCTTAAATTAGTTTTTTTCTACTGGTTTCATTTCTGTAATCTCCTGTATATTATAAAGATGATTTATTTGGATATTTGGTGTTATGTCTGTTAATGTTTTTCCTGCAATTGATCTCAAATCTCCCATTTTTGGCATTCTAAATATTTTTTTGCTGTATCTGCTCCCGTTTCTATCGCATATGTCACTATTATGACAATGTATGGTTGGTATGGACAAATGCTACTAACATTAAAATGTCTTTCCTTATATTTTTCTAAATGTTTTAGCTACAGTATTTCTAATAGTATTAGTCATATGTCTCTAACAATAATATTGTTTTGAAAAGAACTGAAAATTTTTCGCTCTTTTAACCTCTACCACTTGGTTATTTGTGATTTCTTCCGATATTTTGAATTAATTTTGATTCTTACTTCAACTTACTTCAACAAATTTTCATTTAAATTCGATCATCTCTTCTGTAAGATCCCTCATCTTCGTCACTTGTGTAATTCATTTATTTTTTGTTTAATGTTGTTGAAGATAACGTTATATTAAGTTTGCTCTACTTCTAGAGTTGTAAGTCATAAGTAAAAGAAGCAAAATAAATTAGTTAAATATTTCCGTAATATATTCCTACCAAGTCAATTTGATTCATATTTTATCTGTGCTGTTATAGTATTCGTCATTCATCTAGATTATTCGTCTAGATCTGTTGTTTTTTTTTTTTCGAGTCGAAGTTTTCGTTTTTGCCTGTGCCATCGTTAAGAAATACATCGTCAATATATCACAGATGATTCATATTTCTTTCAATTTTTTTTAATATATATTTAAGGATATAATGATATTACAATCTCTCCTATTTCTTCGCTTTAAAATGTCCATATGTTATGATTGGCTCTTTATACATGTCTGTACTATTTCAGCTCTTCTTTTTTATTTATGGTAATATTACTTTAACCTTCCCTGATATTGTTTTTGCGTTATTATAATAACAAGAATTCATTTATAATATTTGTATGTATGTATATTGTTTACAGGCCATTTAAGCCCATTGCTAGATGGATAATTTCCATCGTTTTCTGTTCTTAACTGTCAGCTTCCAATTTCTGATTCCATCACGACATCTCGTGATTTCTTGCTTGGTCTATCTTTCTTGTTCTTAGGTACTCTATAAACCAATATTCTTGACATGTCTATTACCTTGCATTCTTTCTAAATATCCGAGCCATTTTAGTCTATGCTTTTTCACTATTTTTGTTATTGGAGGGTTAGCATACAATCGGTACACTTCTACATTAGTTCGTCTTCGTCATTCTCCATCTACTACTTTTCCACTAACATTCTGTAAAGTATCTTTCTTTCCATACTTCCAATCTGTTCTATACTTTGTTCATAGTCCATGTCTCGATAGCGTATAGCATTATGGGTCTAATTATAGTTTTTTTATACTCTATTTTACACATCCAATTTAAAGCAGTGGTGTTTATTTCTTTTTTGCTTGAATTATCTATGTATTTGTATATATTAATATTATCTTTCAAGTCCTATTTTAGTTCTTTCCCGAATCAGTCTTTTTACTACACTGATCAGTTCTGTTTCAGTTCTTGCAATGAGGACCAAATCATTTGCATACACTAAGCTTTAGTGCTCTTTCTAGAAAATAGTACTGGACCTATTTATTCTAGTAACCCTTTTATATATCTATATTGAATAGCAAGATAGATAGATAACAGATATCCTTGGCGAACACATTTTTTCATTTCGAATTCTTCTGAGACTGTACCATTGCATTTTACAGCACAAATAGTTTTTCTAATTGTCATTTTATCTTACTATTTTTTTGGTACTTGGAATTCTTTTAGCGTTTATATTAATTTGTTTCTGTCTATTGTAACGTAAGCGGGCTTATAACCAATTAAAACCACTTATTAAAATCAGCTGAATAATTGTCTTCATAGGAGTTGATCCGTATTTGTTTTAATATAAAAATTTGATTGATTGTTGATCTTCCCCTGCGAAATCCTTCCTGGTATTCTCCTAGATTCGACTATGTTATTTGTTTTTATCTATTTTTTAATTCTTTCTAATCTGGGTTAATTTGGTTTTTTGTTTCTTCCAATTTTTGCTTTATCTTTATATTTTTCCCCGCTATTATCTTTTCTCTGTAATCCTTATGTTCTTTTCTGATTTCTTTTAATTTTCACATCATCTTCTTGAACATATTCACTATGTCATCCTCATCCTCTGAATCTTCAGATTCGCTTAAATCCTTCAGAAATCTGGTTCCTATCAGTCCTCAGTTAGCAGATTTATTCTTAACTTTGACAACGCCGCAAATCTAACGGACGGAGTTCTACCAATATGACTGTTTCAAATATTCGAATGTAGAACCAATGTTGAGGAAGGAACAAGCCGGTTTCAGACCAAACAGATCATGCGTGGACCAAATTAACACACTAAGAATAATTGTAGAACAGTCACAGGAATTCAACTCTCCTCTCTTTGTGTGCTTTGTGGACTTCAAGAGAGCTTTTGACACGCTCACACATACGGCCATATGGAAAGCACTGCAGGAAATAGGAATACCAGAAAAAATAGTAAATCTCATCAAAGAACTCTACAGTGACACAGAAAGCAAAATCCTACACAACGGCATAACATCTGACCCAATAGCTATGCTAAACGGAGTAAAGCAGGGCTGTGTTTTATCCCCTATACTATTTAACATTGTACTGGACTCCGTACTAACAAAGGTAAACTCTAATAGAGGAATTTACTGGGGATTAACAAACAGACTGGAAGACCTAGATTACGCTGATGATATATGCCTCCTAGCACATACAAAACAGGACATGCAACTCCAAGTAAACAAAGTACAAGAAGAATCAAAGAAGGTTGGTCTAGAAATAAACACCAACAAAACCAAAGAAATGCGATTTGGTACCAGAAACAACCAACCTATTATGATCAACGACCAGAAAATTGAGAGAGTAGCGGAATTTGTATATCTGGGCAGCATAATTGACTGTAATGGGGGTACAGAGCGTGATGTACATGAAAGAATAAATAAGGCTCGCAACGCCTACAACATGCTTAACAACATATGGAAATCCAGGATTTACCCAACTAAAACTAAACTAAAAATCTTCAACACAAATGTAAAAGCTGTATTACTGTATGGCTGCGAAACGTGGAAGATATCAGCACCCATAGTACACCAATTACAAGTTTTCATTAATAGAGCGTTACGAAAAATCCTTCGTATATTTTGGCCTAACCGAATCTCCAATGAAAATTTATGGAACCAAAGCAACCAAGAAAATGTCATAAAGCAAATAAGGCGAAGAAAATGGAGATGGCTGGGCCACACACTCCGTAGACCGCCAAATGACATTGCCAGGACAGCACTGGATTGGAATCCCCAAGGCCGACGGAAAGTAGGCAGACCTAAGGGAACTTGGAGAAGGACAGTACTGGACGAAGGGAGAACAATGGGAAAATCCTGGCTTGAAATCAAAGCACTAGCCAGAAATAGAGTTCGCTGGAGACACTTTGTGGAAGCCCTATGTTCCTCTTAGGAATCTTGGGACTATATATATATATATATATATATATATATATATATATATATATATATATATATATATAAATATTCGAATACTCAAGAAAACAGCACTAATTTTTACTGGAAGCGAGTTTTTTCTCAGCAATTTCTCACTGCTCTAATACTTTTTAACTTCACGTATTATGTAAACAAACCCTAAATAAGTAGGAAAAAAACAAATTTACTGTTATCTGTTTAGTACACTGTTGCCGTTTTATCATTTATAAAATTTATTATTATTACTAAAAAATCGTATCATCTTTACAGGTTGCTCTCGCTATCTTGGCTTTCGCCACCTACGCCCAAGCCTCCATTCTAGGTCTTGGTCTAGGAATCAACCCACTCGCCCTTAGCCCAATCGGTCCCTCTGGAATCGTAACAGGAGCTGGAGCCGCCGGTCCATCTGGTGTCGTAACCGGAGCCGGAGCCGCTGGACCCGCTGGTATTGTAACTGGAGCTGGAGCCGTCGGACCAACCGGACCCAACGGAATTGGCATTCTTGGAGTACCCGGATTGGGATTGGGATTAGGACACGGATTGGGATTAGGAAATGGTTTGGGATTGAGATTGGGATTGGGATTGCACTAAAATGTTGGAAATTAGGCTGCTTGACATGGAGATAAATTAATGTAATTTAAAAAAATAATAATAAATTGTAAATATACAACAATTTGGTGTTTTTATTCAATTTTGTAGAACATAATACTATTAATAAAGGTGTTGAAAACACATTAAAAATTCGCCACAAATATATGTAAAATTATCAATTTGTAATACATAATATCAAAAAATAAACAGTATAATAATTAGTCTAAGAAACACAGCAGAAATATGCAATTTCAAGAATGTAAATTAGGAATATATGAGACTTGTTTTTCGTTATATGGCGATCTTAACAACAGGATGGAAAACACAGGAAAACTATTCCAAGCACTAAATAGAGGATTTCTAAATAACAAAGAAATATCAACAAAGACCAAGATGATAATATACAAAACAATATATAGACCTACAGTGACATATGGACCAGACAATTGGATATTAAACAAAAGACATCAGAGCAGAATTCAGGCAGCAGAAATGAAATACCTCAGAAGAACGATCGGAGTAAAAAGAACTGTGTGGGAAGCCAAACCAATAGGGAAGAACAGAAGAGAAGGACCCATTAAAGAATGGAACAGTGACATTTCGCAGATACTGCAGAGTAAGGGTAAGAATTGGCAGAAAGCAACACAGATGGCATCCAATAGGAAGGAATGGAGAAAGTTTGTTAAGAACTAGGACACAGAAGATCTACTGATTAAGTAAAGTTATAGGGGCGGGATCAGAATGTTCTCTACCATTCTTTTCACTCCAAATTCGTTTTGGAGGTATTTTCCAATTTCGGAGGTATTAGGTTCTAAATTTGCAAAAAACGGTTTTTTTATTTTCAAATACATTGTGCGCTAAACCTCAGGTTTTCTTTTATTATCTTTTATTAGGGCTAAATTATGGAGTGTATAAAAAGTGTTTATAACTAAACTGATGAATATCAAAGACATCTTTAATTTAGAATTAGTTTCGATTGTATGGGGTCAGACGGAACAACGGAATAACTAAAGTTTTGTTTTTTAAAAAGAAACTCATATATAAAAGCATTTTTGAACAATTTTTTTTAAAATATGAAGAGTTCGTCCAAAGTTTTATAGGTCCAAAGTCATTAATTCTCGAAATATTTACACTTTTATTGAGAAGAATGATAAGATTTAAAGCGATGTGATAAAAATATAAATGACATATCGCTGGTTCCAAAAAAATTGATACGACTCTTACAGCGTATTTTGTAAAAAATTGAGCAGTGTATTTTGAACGATAAATAGTTATTATTTACATATTGTCACTGTCATCTCCAAATCTTAAAATTTGTCGGATAACTCATTCTGTTTAACCTTAAAAAAATGGCTCCACATGCTAGCAAAGAACTAAAAGCAAGAATTATAACGAAACTAGAAGATGGTTGGTCAGTATCTGCCGTAGCGAACCATTTTTAACGTTAGCAGAACAACAGTTTTTAGAGAGTTAAAGTGCAGGTGACACGTAAACGTTAACACTAACGTAAACGTAAAGATATTACGTTTACGGACACTATACGTTTTAGCTGTGAAGTGTAAAACGTTAACGTCTAACGTGTGTTTCTAACCTTACTTTTACTCAAATTTGTTGTGGATTAATTACAAATTTGAATGATTAGACAGTGTCCTTTTATATTTTTTTCCTGGTTTGGTTAGTTTTTTATGAAATATTTTGGTTGCTTTTACAGCAGAATGGAAGATATCTTTAATATTTGAAATGTGTCGGGAATCTGATTTCGAGGATGATGACATGTACGATGCTGTACTTCTACATGTATTTGGTAATAACTTATTGGAAAATTGATATCCGTCATTTTTTTTCGATTTTTTTCACTATTTTTAGATTACAATAATACAAACAAAAGATGAATCTTTGGTTAAAATCACAAAACAACAAAAAGTTTTTAATTTTCGGAGATTTGACAGAAATTCAGTAATACTCGTTACCATCGGAACAATTTGGATAACGTTAAGGGAATCCGTAAACGCACGCAAGGTTACGGAGACCCGTTAACGCAAACGTATGTATTCCTCTACTACGCACGAGTAGCTGTCAAATTATACGTTAACGTTAACGTTTTGCCCTGCACTTTAACTCTCTTTAACCCTAGAATGGTACACGGGTCAACGGGTGTCGCCGGCGACACCGCGCAGTTTCGATTAGATGCAGTCAGCACGTTCCTAGAGAGGGGAGGCTTAGATTTTCAGTACGTCAGTACCTTACCTCTTTTAGTTTCAAATCAACTGTAACCGTAAGTGTTTATCGGACGCTAATAGCTATTGTATAATATTAATTATCGGTGTCACATACGACACCACAGTACAATTTCCGTTATAATTTTGAATATAGAAGTAAATGGCTTCAAACAAGCAAGGCGTTGACTCAGGCTGAGTTAGAAGAAATTGTGCGTGCTTGTGAGGCTGGTGAGAGTGATAAAGATGTCCCTTTAAATAATACAGAATCTGAATGTTTGAGTGAGGATGAAGACAAAGAACTTAGTGAAAGTGAACATTCTGATACCATTTTAGCAGAACCAGAGATTAGTGAAGAGGAGAGTGAAGATTCGCAGCAAAATAGCGATCTAAAAAGAAAAGTAGTATATGGAAAAATGGTTTTAAGTAGTATAAAACTCCGTTTTTCTCAAAGAACACTCGCACAGTTCAAAAAACATAGTGCTTCGTCTACCAGATTCAATGGCTCACGCTTCAAATACACCAGAATGGATTCTGGCTTGAAAACTATTTTTCAGCGATTCAATGATAACCTATATTACTTAATACACAAACCAAGAAAATCTCTAAACAATCTACTAAATTTAGTCAATCTCCAAGTTTTACAACTGTTCCAAGCAAAGAAGAGATTTTGGCATTATTCGGTCTTTTATATATGAGTGGTGTTCTAAAAACTAGCTACCTGAGTACCTCCGATTTAGGTTCAAAAAAAATTGGAATATCAACAACAATGTCATAAAAACGCTTTGAATTTTTGATTAATTGTCTTCGTTTTAATGACAAAACAATTGGAGGGGAAACAAAACGTGATGATAAATTTGAACCTATAAGATTTTTTTGGAATGAATTTGTTGAAAATTGTGAAGCTAATTACACTCCTGGCGCATTTGTGACAATTCATGAACAGTTGTTCAGTTTTCGGGGCAGATGTCCTTTTAAAGTTTATATTTGAAATAAACCAGACAAATATGGAATTAAAATCGTTATGTTGTGCGACTATAAGACTTTTTATATGTATTCTGCAATACCATATGTGGAAAAAGAGAGACGATATGCATCAAAAACTTTGCCCACCCAATACGTTCTTCGCCTATTGAAATTGCCTATTGAATTTGAAATTTAAATATTTCAAATCAAATCACAATATTAATGTAAAAAAGGGAATAATTAAATCCTTATACGATAGAGCCAAAATTACTTGTTCTAACGAAAATTCGTTCTTGGAGGAGAAACATTTGTTAACATCTGTTTTATTAAAAAATGATTATCCTTTATCGTTTATAAATAAGGAATTTTCAACAATCGATCGAATAGAACAGAACAACTTAGAACGAGATCCTACAGCATACACAAGGAATAATATGAGAAAAATAACAATATCGTACATAAAAGGATTATCAGAAAAACTTAAAAGGATAGGAAATAAATTCAACATTTCAACAACATTCAAAACAACAAACATGTTGAGATCTATTTTGTCCAAAACCAAACCTAACAATGAACAAGAAAAGACAAAGAATTGCATTTATAAAATACCTTGTGAATGCGATCAGTTTGATTTAGGTGAATCATCAAGGCCATTAAATGTTAGAATAAGTAAACATCAATCTTATATTAAAAATAGAGAATTTGATAGATCTCAAATATGTAAACACGCATGGGATAATGAACATAGGGTTCAATGGAATAATTTAAATGTAGTCCTAAAAGAAACGGATAGTAAAAAAAGGAAAATCAAAGAAGCGGCTCCAATTATGCTAAATGAGGCCAATTGTGTCGCAAATTCCTCGGCAGAATGTAGTAGGATCTGGTTACCAATATTGAAAGAGGAAGTTATTAATAAGAAAATACCAGTATTAGTAAGTCAGTAACATATAGAGGATACATCATTTATGTTTTTTAAATAACGTAACATATAAAATCAGAATTTTGATGTTTGTTGAAGGTAAACTAAATTCACGAACAAATACTTACAATGTCGGGATAGTATTATGAGGTTTTTTTCCTGGTTTTTCCCTCATAATTTACTATGGAATCACTAACAGGAGAATTTTACTGTCATCATGTCATGTGTTTGTCTTTTTAAAGATGAATTGCATACTATGATTTTTTCTGTCGGATATTCTCAAGTTAAAGTTGATTTCATGTAATCGAATGAACTATCTTATAAGTAAAGTCATCCCAGGAGCGCAACTCAACAATATTGGCAATATCATTTTAAAGTCATCTACTTTAAAATGCATAATGTAATGGAATTGTCAATATAAATGAGTCAGATAAAATTAAATTATTAGAAGAATTTTTCACTATGTAACAAAAAACAAAATTTGTTTAATTTACTGTTTGTATTTTGAGAACGATTTCCGAAGTGGAAATTGAAACGTCAATAAACGTATTTTTATCTTTAATTGTGGCTTATTCCCAGTTTAACAGTAACTAATTTACAATGCCACAAGAAAATAGCTTCAGAACAATGTTAAAAATCTTTGAACGCAGCTATCTAAAAATCTCCCCATACAGCAACACATTTCTTTTATGATACTCTCACAAGTTTAATAGATGAAGGAGAAAGTACTATTGTATTCAAGGGCGAGTATCTTATTTAACTGCAAAAAATCAAATGCGAGTCAGAAATGTAAATATCTCGAAATTAATATAGGTGTACAACAATGCACAATTTTAGAGCCTATTTTATTTCATATTTACGTAAGTGATGATGTCTTGATTAACTCAGATGGATATTTTACGACATTTGCAGGCGATATATTATGCTGTAATTAACGGATCTGAATCCTCACTGGAATTCAAATATGTATAATCGTTTACT